AAACATAACTTTATTTGCTGAAAATATTCCCAAGAACCAGGCCACACACTTGCACTATCAGTTAGAATCGGTGTAAAATCATTGCGCCAACTGGAGCTATTTTACAGGAAACAAATTTCTTGATTATTATGCCAGAAATAGAGTATAGTTCCTCACCGTATGTATCAGCTTGAATGGACATTATCAGCTAATATGGGCTTTTTGCACCTACTGGTAGGCTCAGAAGGCTGTTATCATCCATTCACATTGTTAATCAGCTATACTAACAGAGAAGACTCCAGATCCTGATCTGTTTTTACATTACTTTGTCTGTTACGACTAAAGTTTATTTATTAATCATTATTATTATTATTATTTATTTATTTATTTTTGCGCATTGCATGTGTCTTTTTCTTTGTCCCACCTTTTTTTCTTGCTTTCTGTTATTCCATAGGCTCCCTTCCCAACATGATCCATGCTCTGATTGGCTGCTGATCATAAAAGCCTACAAAAACGAACTTCCGGCAGGGTTCAGAGAGCTCATTTGTGGTGCAAAAACTATATAATTACTCTCAACTGAGTGTCCAAGTTTAGTTGTCAACCGAAGGAGATCTTTTGCATTAGGTTTTTGTTTTCTTTGGGAAATCCACCACCCGCAACATTTGTTTTTGTTTATGATGACCATGTTGTTTACCCCTAGACTTGGGGCGCAATAGTGATAGTTGGGTTTAGGGTAGGGTGGTAGACATTAATAAACTCAATTAATGGGAAATTCAATAAATAATATAAATAATTTTAGTCGACTTACGGCCACAGCCATATGTAATCTATTGCTGATTAACCATGTAGATGGATGAGAATAGCCTTTTGAGCCTACCAGTAGGTGCAGAAGGTCCCTACTGGCCCATATCTATCAGCTGATAACCACTGACAACACCAATTCATTCGAGTGATAACATTCGAATCGGCGGCCATATCAACCTAAATAATAGGCTATTTTCTTTTTACCTTGGTTCGTAGTACACAATGTAATTACAGAAGTGTCAAGCTCTAAATAGGTTAATAATTAAATTAATAAGCAATCATTATTATTCTTTATTTGAGGGCTATGCGAATGCTGATCCGATTCAATGATTTATGCTAAGCTAAGCTAAAAGTGCTCCTGAAAAAAATCAATTGTTAACTCCAGGGGAGTTAACAAAATGAGCTTATTTACCAAAAAAGAGTTCCTTTAAGAAGCCAAACCGCTCTTCAGCTTCATTTGCAGCGAACAGTTACACCATGCCCAGTTTATGACAAGTGACGCAAGTTCATAAAGCTTCACAAACTTTCTTTATAAGAGACCGATTCCAAGTGTTTTGGATCAGAGGAAGAAATGCCAGCCAAACAAAGAGGAGCCTGTTTTGTGAATGCAGCTCTGTGTGTCCCACCTCCTCAACACGCCCCTGCCATCTACATCCAAAATCAGCAGGGAGAAATAATCAGCCGGGTACAACCACAACTCCAAAACAACCACACACCAAACGCTCGGCATCAATCAGGAAAAACAAACAGCATTTCCCAGTCATTTGTCAGGTTTGAATGGCTTTGCTGGAGAGCATGTCATCTGTGTTGAGTAAGACCTGGCAGAAGTAACCGCTCTTAGCGGAGGGAAGCTCGTGAGCTCATAACAAGGCCCTCTTCTCAAGCAGAACTGGCAGATGGCGATGCTGGCTTCTGAGAGGGGCTTTGGTAAAGCTTTATCATTAAAAAAAATGGTAATCTCTGCCAAGTAAAACGCAAGAGTGTGCGCACATATGATCTCGCCGAGTTTCCAGCCAAGACTAGACCTGAACACTCAGATGAGGAGGATCATCGCTATGTTTATCCACTGATATTCAAAACATTCTGATACTAGATGTTTGGATTATACAGTTGAAGTCAGAAATATTCAGATATTAGCCTCTCTGTATAGTTGACAATAACAGCTTTAGCCCAAGATGCTAATTGCAAACCAAATAGCACGTCGTGTCTAAAACTGAATTTCATGTATTTTCATTGTATTATTCTTTCTAAAAAGTGACCAAGAAATATCATGATAACAGAGTTGACAAATAATTAATTTAGTCTTCATGTATCCTAAAGATTTTGGTACTAATTAATGAGACTGCCAAAAGAAGTGACTTGGAAATCATTTAGATCACATGCTTTTTAAATCAGTGTTTTATGAGCTAAAATATGTTGTCCATGAGGCCACTAAGCCCTAGGAGGTTAAAGCTCATCAAGTATTTTTTTAACCATTCATTCATTTTATTGTCGGCTTAGTCCCTTTATTAATCTGGGGTCGCCACATTGACCAGTGACAGACACAAAACTAAAATGACAAGTAACACTGAAAATAAATGATTAAGCGATTAATAAACATAATCTATTTCTTCTTTGTAATAACTTAAAAGTCATTCATTTATTCATTTTCTTTTCTGCTTAGTCCCTTTATTAATCTGGGGTTGCCACAGAGAAATGACTCACCGACTAATTCAGCATATGTTTTACGCAGCGGATGTCCTTCCAGCTGCAACCCATCTCTGGGAAACACCCATACATACTTATTCACACTCATACACTACGGACAATTAAGCCTACCCAATTCACCTGTACCGCATGTCTTTAGACTTGTGGGGTGAACCGGAGCACCCGGAGGAAACCCACGCAAACACGGGGAGAACATGCAAACTCTACACAGAAACACCAACTGACCCAGCCGAGGCTCGAATCAGTGACCTTCTTGCTGTGAGGTGACAGCACTACCTACTGCGCCACCGCGTTGCCCAATAACTTCAATTAATAAAAAATATAAAATTTCATTATAACTGCAGAGTTATATTTGATATTAAGACAAATGTTCCTGGGTACACATGAAAACATTATTTTTATAGAAATAACGATATAATATGCGTTTATTATTTAAAACTATTTCATTCAGTTTTTTATAAACAATTAAAGGTTTATCGATTCTAGAATTACCCATGTACAGAAATGCACTGATTCTTGACACAAAATGTTTCAGGAAATTTTACCTCCATTCTGTTTTGCAAATAGCAACATTTATCTAAAATAGCCCCCAAAACAGCAATAAATAATTAAAAGGTATTTTTATTGCTTAAAATAAAATAATTTCAGACATATTGGGTGTTTTTTATTCTCACCAGTGTTCTTAAGTACAGTATTTAACTTTAATGTTATCAGACCTTAATAAAAACAACAAATAACAGTTGAAATCCGATTTATTAAACCCCCTTTGCATTTTTTTTTTCCCTTTTTAAATATTTCCAGAAAGATGTTTAACAGCTCTATAGCTCTATAAAAATATCTAGTCAAATATTATTTACTCTTATCATGGCAAAGATAAAATAAATCAGTTATTAGAAATAAGTTATTAAAATGTTTAGAAATGTAATGAGAAAATCTTATCTTCTTTAAACAGAAATTAGGGCAAAAAATAAACAGCAGGGCTAATAACTCAGGGGGTTTATTAATTCTGAGGTCGACGGTCGACTAAAGAAATTGATTAATGTTATATAGATGTGCTCGTTTTGTTTGTACGTTTTAAACACAGAACACAGGCAGATGTTTAATTATTAAGTAATTATTTAATAATTAAGTCCAAAATCAATTATTTCAATACAAATATAATATGATTTTTTCTCAGAGGTGATAGTATAATAGATTAATTTGAAACCAATTTGCCAAATCCTGCCATCTGAGTTCATTAACTCGTCTCCCAATTAACAAAACACTTTTGCCAGGACTTTTTTAAAGCAGAAACAGATTTTATATTACTATATTAAATACAGAATTATTCTATAAACATGTTTTGTCCCATTTTTAAACAACCACCTAAAGTATTTAGCACATTTAGACTGTCACAACATGAAAACGTCACATCATAAAGCTGCTCTGCCAAGTGCTACTTGGAAAATGCAGCGTACAAGCCTGAAAGTCATAATTACGGTGTGATGGGTTATAGATTTTTTATTTATTTTTTGGTCTGAATAAACTAGAAGCATAGAGCAATTTCAAATTCCTCTGTTTTCACTTTACAAACACAGGAAGCTTTTAATGCAAAATTGACGATCAAAGGATGCTTTATCTCTTTATTTTATCATTTTCAATCAGCCACAGGGAATTATTCAGGAGAGGCTTGGACGTCAAAGAATTTTTAAAAACTAAATAAGAAGAAGACTGAGGCAATTGTCTTTGGACTATTACACGGCTCTGCCAAGCTGAATCAAATGCTGGACAATCTACCTGATTACATTAAACCATCTGTAAGAAATCTAGGTTTCACCCTTGATTCCGCCCATCTATTTGACAAACAGGTAAATGCAGTAGTTAAATCTTGTTTTTTCCAGTTGAGATTATACGCTAAAGTGAAAGGCTTTTTAACTTGTGCACCCTCCAAATTTAGTCGGTTAATTCCGCTGTGGTGACCCCAGATTAATAAAAGTACTAAGCCGAAAAGAAAATGAATGAAATTAATGAATATGTACACTGTTAAAAATTGTCCCGTTAAAAAACAGCAAGTTACTGGCAGCACAGTTGCCAGCAAGTTACTGTTAAATTAACAGCATCTAGCTGTAGTTGAAATTTACAGGTTGTTACTGTTTTTAAAAAATACAGCATAAAGCTGTTATTTTCTACATTAACAGTAATTTACTGTCAAAAGTAACGGTTAATTAATGTTTATTTGAATTTTTAACTGTAAACTACAAATATGTTATCCTGAGAAATGAACTGCTAAGAAAACAGGTATATATACATTTTTTATTTGTTATAAAAACAGTTTAATACAATGCACACATATAGCCTTATTGGAAACAATGCTAAAACTAAAAAATGCAGTTTTTATTACATCGTATTACACTTATATATTTTAAAATTACTGGCAATGGAAAACCAAGTGGAATTACTACAACAATTACTACTCTGAAAACTTCTGAGTGAATTACAGAATTAGTAAGAAATAAAAAAGAATGCAATGAACAGTTTAGGTATTCAAGATCAAACATCTGAAAAAAGTATGCGACTAACACAATAAAATGAGTGCCATTAGTGAAGAGGATGTGTAAGGTGTGTGTGTGTGTGTGTGTGTGTGTGTGTGTGTGTGTGTGTGTGTGTGTGTGTGTGTGTGTGTGTGTGGTGTCACTTATATGACATCCCACTCAAAGTCCATTAGCTTCTTTAAGTAAACTGGCAACCTTAGTGTTGACAATTCTTTTTGTGGGTGACCTTTCCCATTCCCTTCGATAGGATGTGTCCACTCTTGGAGCCCCTTTTCAGGGTTTACCCATGAAGCTTCTGAAAAAATGCATACATTCAGAATTAGTGTGGGTTAAAGTTTATATGATAATAATGTGAAGAGAAATAAATATATGAATCTAAGCGTCTAACCTCTGAATTAATTCCAATGTCCATGCAGCCTCCGCTTGGTTCTCCACATTGAAAATGTCGTAAGTTAAAAACACAGCAGCTTTACCAGACAGAAAACTTGGCTGGATGCTCTCACAGATTATTTGCCCCTCAAAACTGATCATCCATTTATGAATGTAGCTTCCTGGTTTTTCTCCTAAAACATTTAAAAGAAAAAAACAATGTCAGCAGTCACATGAAATTATATTTTCTAGTTGAAAATATATGTGAGGGAAGCTGACGTAATTTTACTTAGTCCCAAAGCCCTGTTCTTGTAACACAATACATGTATTTGAAAATGTTGATTGTGGACTCGCCTGGACAGCCACTGAAATCAACATGTACAGTATATACTGTGTATTGTGAAATTGTCACTGCAATGTTTGTGATTTATTTAACTTAATATTTATGATCAACATAGCGTGTTAAACAACTAAGTGTTAAACAACTAAAATGGAGTAATTTAGTAAATTGAGTAAAATGTTTTCCAAAGGTGAGTGAAAGCTTGGGTAAAATATGGCAGAACATATAATTTATGTATTTGTGTATTTTGTTTTGTTCAAAAGAATTTACCATGTTTGCTAAAATACAGAGAAAACACCCTTAGTTGCTAAAGTAATAAAATACAGTTCTAAACATACCAAAAAGTATCAGTCAAGGAATTGCAGGTAGTTCAAGGGTCTTTTCTACATCAGGTACAGTAGAAGATGCCTAAGACAAGAATTACAATGATGAGGAAAGATACAAAATTAACAAGCATAATGTATGCGTAACATTTTTTAATTGTATTTTCAGTTATTAGGACAATAATACCACATAGCAAATAATAATAACTTTACCATGTTATCATGTTTCATTAAACTCACCTTGTAATCAGTAATCAATATCTGTATCAGAAATCCAGCTCCACTCTATGATGCAGTTAGCATGTTCACAGGTTCAGCACTGAAATGGACATATAAAACAGTTTATGGTGGTGATTAGCCAATTGTACTCGACGAAGTAGCATTACAATACAAACCAACTACAGTAAAAATTTTACAGTAAATGTTTTATCAAAGCCTACATTGAAGCCATATTAGGTAGCTATTGAAAGCTAAAGCTAAAATTAGCAATGAGATGACAATCTTTTCATCATGCTACATAAATCAATACTACTTTGTTGCTACATATGTTTAAAAACTGACTTTGTAGATAAGCTTATAACCTATATCCTTTTTAATTATCATATTCTGACTTACCGTGTAATCAGGAAATATCTGTGTCAGATTCCCAGTTACACTAAATGCAGATGCAGTTTGCACATTGACAGATTTAGCACTAAAATAGATGTAAAAAAGTTACAATATCAGCATCCAGTTAGCCTATGTGCAATCACAAATGTGTATTTTGTGTAAATTGAGCAAAATAAAGGTGCACTCACCGAGTAAGTCACAGTAAAAAAAAGGATGAAAATCCACGTGATGGCTGACGTCTTCTGTTCAAAAAATACTGTTGATTGCTGTTTTTTTACATTAGTGTGATAAAAACAGTAAAAAAATGTTAAATTTGTCTAAGTCATTTCAAAAACTGTAAGAAAACAGCAACATACTGCTTTTGACAATAACAGGATTATACTGTTAAAATTTTGCCGTAAATTAACAGCAATTTTTAACAGTGTACCCTTGAGGCATTAATATGGACCCTTTATGTACAAATGTGTAGCTTTTGAAAAGGTACCACCCCAGTGACAGCTGTCTTACCTTTATTTCTAAGAGTGTGTAGAATTCAAGAGATTAATTCATGCATTTATATCATCACACTTGGACTATTATAACTCAATTCATATAGTTATTGGCCAATCCTATATAAATCACCTAAACTGTAAAACCCAAAAACTTAAGGTACTGTAACATAAACCATTTGAGGAAATCGATTGCAACAAAGCATTTGAGTTCAAAAACTAATACTGAGTACTGTAAACTTATTCTATTTAAGTAAATGAAGCAATCTGAGCACAGTAAAACCCAACAAATGAAGAGAACTCAAACCAACTGAGTACTGCAAAACCCCAATAAGTTAAGGCAACTTAAACCGTTTGAGGAAACCGATTGCTACAAACCAATTGAGTTAAACTAATCTATACTGTGAACTTACTCCGTTTAAGTTGAAGTAATGAGGTATTTAATTAACTCCTTACTGTCAACACTAAGTTCAAAACTCTTTTCAAATGAGTAGAACTAACTTTCAGTAAAAAAAAAAAAAAAGTTTTTGAGTTAACTTCATTTTATTTGATTAAGTTGACTGTTAGGTTCTAAATGCAGCCGCTAGGCTTCTTACTAGCAGCCATAAATTTGAACACATTGTCCCCATCCTGTGTTCCCTAAACTGGTCGTGATATGTTTAAGAATAGGGCGAAGCAGTGGTGCAGTAGTGCTGTCGCCTCACAGCAAGAAGGTCGCAGGGTCGCTGGTTCGAGCCTCGGCTCAGTTAGCGTTTCTGTGTGGAGTTTGCATGTTCTCTCTGCGTTCCTCCGGGTGCTCTGGTTTCCCCCACAGTCCAAAGACATGTGGTACAGGTGAATTGGGTGAGCTAAATTGTCCGTAGTGTATGAGTGTGTGTGTGAATGTGTGTGTGGATGTTTCCCAGGGATGGGTTGCGGCTGGAAGGGCATCCGCTGCGTAAAAACTTGCTGGATAAGTTGGCGGTTCATTCCTCTGTGGCGACCCCGAATTAATAAAGGGCCTAAGACGACATAAAAATGAATGAATGTTTAAGAATAGAGTTTAAAATTTTACTTTATGTTTTTAAGGTATGAAATGGTCAGGCACCACCTTATCTTTCTAATCTTATTACTGTTAACAAATCTGGCATACAGTAGTCGAACCAGAAAATATCTCCAGATCCAAACTAAATAAAAATGGAGACCAGGGTTTTTCTGTAGTAGGTCCTAAAATGTGGCATGGGCTAGCTGCTAGAGTTCTTTCTAGAACAAAGAAATATGATCATATTACTCCAGTTCTTTCATCATTGCATTGGCTCCCTATTAAATATCGTAAAAAATTCCAAAAATGTTTTGACTACTCACAAAGCCCTAGCTCCCCAGTATTTGAGGAAGCTCTTGGTGTATTATAGCCCCTCACGTCCACTACGCTCAATTAATTTTGGACAATTGATTATTCCCAGAATATCAAAATCAACAGTAGGTGGCAGATCTTTCTTATATCTGACACCTAAACTCTGGAACAGCCTTCCTAGCACAGTTCGGGAAGTAGACACACTCTGTCAGTTTAAAAATAGATAATAGACACATCTCTTTGCGTTAGCATATATATAAAACACAAATGCTTTTGAAATCCAAATCCAAATCCTCTAAAGGATTGTAACCAGAGGGTAACCAGAGCCGGGAACATTTCCCAAAAGACATTGTAATTTGAATGGCATCTGCACTTATGTTAGTTTTTTTTAATTATTCCCGAGGTTTTTTTAAATCCTGGACCAGGCTGTATCCTGAGCAGCTGCTGTGGTGGTCATGGAGGAGTAGAGAGCATGAGCCTGATCCTTGTATGATCCCAGTGACAGATGAGTCCTCTCTTTGATCCTAAAGGGCCAGCCATTGACCTCTCCCACCTGCAGCTTCTCAACGATGGACGTCCAGCGTTCTCCAGCCTCCGGCGCCTAGACTGCATCTCTGAACAAGAAGTTTGGCCTGAGGAGAAATAGTCATGCCCAACTAAGCCTGGTTTCTCTCAATGTTTTTTCCTTAACTTTCGCCAATTGGTTAAGTTTGTTCCTCGCTGCTATCGCCACTGGCTTGCATGATTCGGGACTTGTGGAGCTGTGCATAGATGGATTTACTCTTCAGTGTTTGTACTCTCAGCAGTGAAAATTAAACCACACTGAACTGAACTGAACTTTAACACTAAAAACTGAACTGACACTGTTTCAATTTACTATAATCTTCTATGTTAAACGGCTTTGACAATCTACAGTGTAAAAGCGCTATAGCAGGGGTCACCAATCCTGGTCCTGGAGGGCCGGTGCCCCAGCAGGGTTTAGCTCCATCTTGCCTCAACACACCTGCTTGGATGTTTCAAGTATACCTAGTAAGAACGTGATTAGCTTGTTCAGGTGTGTTTGATTAGGGTTAGAGCTAAAATCTGCAGGCCACCGGCCCTCCAGGAACAAGTTTGGTGACCACTGCGCTATAGAAATAAAGATGAATTGAATTGAATACGTCTACTAGAACAATCTCTAATGAATCCTTGTTCAAAGGGAAACTGAAACTACAGATCTTAGAAAAAGCTTTCAAATTGGGAGGAAATTAATTTTATTGTGCCCGTCTTTGTTTCTGCAGCATGCATTCGATGTTTTTGTAATATTTTGGATTTGTTGTTGCCTATTTTTGATCATTTATAACCCAAGGTGTGTATAGCACAATGGTCAATAACTGTTGTTTTATTGCACTTTATAAATAAAGTAAAGAAAGAAGAAAGAAAATGATGGGAAGTTTTGTCCTACAATACTGGAACCTCATAAATGTGGATAAATTAGCAGTGTTCCTGGCAAGCCTTACTTCCATTCTTCATCAAAATGTAAACTAACAAACTCATTTCAGGTCAATAATTCACTTCCACCATCCATTGGTTGTTTTCTAAATGAAACACTGTGGCTGCATTCATGTGTGCTCACGAACATGATTATTCTGAAATGACTTGAAGGCAGCATTTGTTTAGACTCTGGAAGGATTTCTCTACATTTTCAGTGCCAGAAAGCAGCTTCGAGTGTGGGCTGTTGAGTGGGATTAGGGTTGAGGTTACCGTGTTTACTGATGACGCTAATGTGTTGGCATGTAGCTCAAGTGGAAAACTTTATTGATACTGCTAGCATGTGGGAAAACATGAGAACTTGCTCAGCATAATGGAGGTTTGATGGAGAAGTCTTCAGGTAATACATGATATTGTAAATTATTACACAGGGCTCTGAAATAGAGGTCTGTACGGGACTAACTTTTTAGTTCTGCTCCCGCAAAGGTTTTATTCTGCACCCAACCGTTCCTGCTGTATATTCAGTTTTTTGTTTATCTGCTGCCCAACCCGACCATTCCCGCAAAATTTAGATCTGGTTTCCAAAATCTAACGTTAATATTGGGTACTACCAAAAGAGAGAGATAACCGATAAAACCATAGGTTGTGCAAAGATTGTAACCTAAATGTCAGTGTGCCCCTGTGTGATGAGACATGAGTCCAAAGCAGAGGTTCTAGTTTTGTGACTGCTAAAGGGTAAAACTTTAAGGTATTATCCAACCCAGGCTCATTGTGGAAACGTAGCCCCGCGGACGTTTCTGCGGACTGCGATTTACGTCCCGGGAGGTACTTATTCGAGAGGCCGCTGTGCTCGCTTTTTCGCGTCTCGGGCGCCTCTCGGGAGCGCGCGGCGTTCGCGCCCGCGCCGTTCTCGCGCGAAAAGCCGCCGGATCGAGAAAAAAAAAAAAAAGCAAAAGCCCTCGTCTTCGATTTCGACCGTGTTTTCGGATCCCGCCGCGTTCTCGCCCTTATTTTCAGATTCCGTTTTTCGTTTTACCTGATTTCCGGAACCTGCTGTTCCCCGGACTCGATCCCGGTCGTCGTCCACCGCAGCCGACTCCCGCTCCTCCTCCGGGGCCTCCGCTCCGCCGACGCAACGCTGTGAGCTAAGCGGACAAACTGATTGCATCGGGAAAGCCCTCCACTCGGAGGCGAGCCGTCGGCCGGCGATCGCGAAGAGGAGGGGCGGAGCGGCGCCACACCGCCCTGCAGCGTTCGCTCGAAAAAAACCAAACGCTGCCTTTACGTACCTCCGGCCACGTAAATCGCGGTCTCCAGAAACGTCCGCAGGGCTACGTTTCCAGAATGAGCTTGGGTTGGTATTATCACATCACGCAAAGAGTATTTTTTTCATCTGTGTCTATGTCGCATGAAAAAGACATACATCAGACTTGCCTTATGTGGGTTTCTCGACAGTTAACTGACTGTTGAAGGACAGCGCATCTTGACTTTGATGTCCCATGTTGGTAAAGCCCGCTCTGAGGGCCGTTATGCAGATGGTGCATGCACAGACTGAGCAATAAAAAAAAAAAAGCATGTGCAGAAAGCACTGGTCATGCGTCCATCAAGTGTAACAGTCATGAGAACTGGCTGTACAGGTGCTCAAAAAAAAATTGGAAATCACAGATATGCTGTTCTAAATTAACATTGGGAGCATGAGCGCTATATTGTTAGACCGACCGCTCCTGTTCAAATTACACCAGAGTTACCGACCGCTACTGTGTTTTATTCGAAAACTTATTGCAGACATCTACTCTGGAATACTTGATTCTGATTGGTCAGTCACAAAATTCCAAGGTATGTTATTCTCAGATAACAACAGATGAAACTAATAATACTGTGTCTCAATTACACGCAATGTGGCATGTAAAAAAGTTTTAAAACACGTTTTTGCTTTAACCATCTGTCAAAATTATATACAAATAACATTATACGTGACATTTCTTGCCATACTACTGAAAGCAGCAGTAAATAGTTCACCTCAGATTCTGAAAATAAAATAGCATATAGAAAAACGGACTCAGTGCAAA